AGGGTAATGTCTTCGACTAGATACGATTTGTGATCTTTTGACGTATCGTTGAAAGAAATCCGTTCGGTGAGAGCTGAGAAAAAGTGGTAACAGACACAAAAAAAAAAAAAAAAAAAAAAAAAAAAAAAACACATCATAGTAAAACCAATACCTTCTCAGCTTCGCATCGAAGCTAAAACACATAATGGTAAAATTAATACCTTCTCAGCTTCGAATCGAAGCTAAAAATGAAAACCTTGGAATGCTCCCATATTAAAAGTACTTAACATTAAAGGTTCATTTTTTTACAGCGTTTTAAGCTATTGAAGGTATAAGCTTATTCTATAGTTAAAATTTGAAGTCTATTTTAAAAAGAAGTATAATAATATGGGATTCTAAAAATCAGTAGCATTATTTCATGTAAAGATATACTAGAAAATGGTACAGTACACTCAGATATTTGATCGTTTTCACGTAATAATATATTAACAATCTTTAAATTTTTATTCAATTAAGACAAATAACATATTTAAATTCAATTTCATGTCCCTAATAGGAATCTTTGCAAATCACTTACTTTTTTTTATAGAAATTCATAATTAAATCATTTTTTAATATTTTATAGCAATTTATAGTTTAAATTCAAGAATTTTAACATAAAAATATCATGTTTTATTAACTACTGAGATCGTATACATAGGGAAGACAAATCGTTGAAACATTTTTTTTTTACTGATAGTATTTAATATAAAATTTAACTTATCATATGTTTGAAGCCTGTAATATTTCTGGATCAATTACAAAAGTTAAATTGAAAAGGTTAACATTTCATGCAAAATTGACTATCCTGAATCCATCCTTATAGTAGGTAAAGGATGAGATTTCAAAAAACAATATACCAAATATAAGATAATTGCCTAAGTTATCTATAAAAAAATTGTTTTTATTTGTCTTTTTAACAAAATTATGACTATATGAGGAGTATAATTTTAACATTACCCTAATGTTAAAATTATACTCCTTCGCCCTGAAATATAATTTTGTAAATTAAATCATCATCATTTCTTAGCGTCTATCCCAACTATTTGTAGTCAGCTCAGCGTTAGAATTCACTTTGACAAGTTTTTAAACTGACAGTCAACATGACGCAACCTCATTATGACTGAGAAAGAACAAGTTTATAGTTAAGTATAATTTTTTATAACCTTAGGGAACTTAATTTACAAAATAATAAAACTATACAATACTTTATTTGTAATGCAATTTACTCACATAATTGATGCTACTTATTGGATAGTATTTATACACCACTTCTCCAGATTCCTCGCCAACTTGTTTAGGCTGAATTTCCTTGCCCGTAAATTGATACAATAATTCTTTTTCTGACCTTCGGTTGACTTCTGTATGATAAACAAGTGATACAGATTCGTCCACCACCTATAAAATTAAATAATTTGAAAACAGTAGTTAAGTGAAGTCGTAGCACAGTATGGACGTGACATAGTTAGTACAAGTATAGATAATCTTTGAAAATGATTAAAATCATTATCATAAGAAACGATTCAAAGCAAATCTGTAGATAGTGTTTAATTTTGAGAAATTTGTGGATTATTCCAAAATAGGAGTTCATTTTGTACTCCTATATTTTTATTTATATCCTGATTACAAGTTTTATGATATATAAGTATAATACATGAATAAATTTGTTAAATTTCGACGGCCATTTGCACATATAATATAGATCGCCGGGACAATTTTTTTTTTTTAATTTATAGTACATAACATAAACTTTTTTTAAACATATATTTAAAGGACACTGTATTATCGGAACATTATGTGTCAAGGTTTGAATGTCTTTTGTATAAGGGGAAATTGTCCGATTTAAAAAAAAGTATCTCGGTAAAAAGGGGTATATATAAAGTATTTAGAAACAAAAATTTGTGTTAATCCATACAAATAAATAATTACATAAATTTTTATAACTTAAGCGAAAAAAATGTCAAAATTTACCGATTTTAAAAATACGATTTGCGATCTTTTGACGTATCGTTGAAAAAAATTAGTCCAGTGAGAACTGAGAAAAAGTAGTGACAGACACAAAAAATAAACACATCGGGGTAAAATTAATACCTTCTCAGCTTCGTATTGAAGCTAATACGTGTTTAATATTATATAAAGCTTTTCTTACATTTTGAAGACTCTAAGACTTTCAGTTTTTAATTCGCATCTATAACGATATTACAATATTAAAAGTGCTCTAAATTGAAAATACTTTGAATTTTATGAAGAGACTTAAGTTAACATTCTACTGGCAGCATTTCATATTGTTATCTTCAATTTTGTCTTTATTATTTTAGTTCATGAATAATATTTAAAATTTGTACAATTAATAACTCAATAAGCTCTCAAAGGAAATTTAGATAATTATATTTATTGTTGCATAAAAATATTTTTTTAAGTGTTAGAAATTAAAGTTATTTTTAGATCTGTATTACTTCGGAAAATATCCCCGAAAATAGTAATTTAAAGTGTAATATTTCTGAGGAAAATATTTGTTGAGAAATTTTTTTGGAGGAACTGTACACACATAATAGAAATTGTTATGGAAAATATTAATCGGTAAAATGTACTCCTAATTCATACTAATTGGAAAAACAAAATTTAGAACTGTACTAACCTGGAAATGTATTATCAAATGATAATAGATAACAATTTTTGTTTATAAATTAAAATTAGCCAGTTTTATAAAATAATACAATAGACTGAATAAGTTTAACTATTTAATGAGCATAGCAAGAGTTCATTTTAAATTGAAAAATCGCTATTTAATTTAAAATTATGTTATGAGATTTTGCACACATTTCAGAGGACACAATATTTTAGAATTAGCCTAACTAGGGAGATTGAGCCCAACGACAGAGCTAAACGAAATTTTATGAATTACTATTTAATTATTTCATTATATAACATTTTATGCTTTCATACAAAACATAATAAATTGGCGATGAGGATAAGATTCGAATCGACGCATATTTAACACATTGGATATGAAATATATATTAAATTTCGGAAATATAATTTATGACAATAATAAAAACTTTATGAACTTAAATTTCAGGTACTATGAGCAATCAACTAAAACTTATATAAATAATGATTTGGTTACTATATTTTTACCTGACATTCCACTGGCCATCTTGCAGCTTGATAAGGACAGTCTACTTCTTTCATTAAAGGAAAAACTTCCCTGACGTCTCGTATATTTGATTTGATATCACTATTTTGATCTAGTATCAATCTTTCGTTTTTTATTGTTCGATCCAATAAATGATTAAACAAAGACCCTGGATAATGACAATCATTTAGTTATCACATAAAAAAATTATTTATACAGTATATGTAATTTTTAGTTATGAACAAAAATATTATATATTCATGCCAGTCCAAAAAATAATAAAATTAAAATATTTTACGTTTGAATATTTATATATACCGTTATTAGTATTAACTGCGAAAAGTCATGTTTAATTTTCATTTGTCAATATACATAGACAAAGTAGATTATAATATTATAATATTGTCAATTTCAATGATTGTTCAAATTATACATGCATAAGATAATATTAACTTTACGTAGTTTATAAATACTGATACAATAAATACATTTAAATAATGCTATTAGTAAAATATATAATGCACGACAATGTTTCAGCACGATACAAATAGTCGTTAGTCAAAAAGTTCAGATTACATTTACAACATATATGTATATGCAAGACATAAATCTAATTGAATTGAAATGTTTTAAAATACTACGCTTGTCAAGTGTCTTCTGACTATAGAAGGCTATTACTTATAGTAGTATAAAATACCGCTGTGTCACGAAATAAAGTACTTTATGACGCAACTGAACTAGATTTTTCAAAATAAACAGTTGAAAACATTTTACATATTCTAGCTGAAAGTGTAAATATTATCCTAAAAACTGCAAAAAATCAAATTAAAATTATAACATTTTTCAAAAAACCTCGTTAGTGATTCAAATGAATGATCAATTTATCTTTTCGAGAAATAATCGAGTTGTAATAATATATTTGATTTTATAAAACTAAAATTATAAAATAATAAAAAAATATAATTGACTTTTCTAAAAGAAAATAAATGAAAATCTGAACTTAAAACCAAGGAAGCCTGAGATATAACATTTTAATGAGATTCTCTATTTTCATTGGTATTAATTAAACTTAAATTTTCATTTTATTATATAACAAAAAAATCTAACTTTTAAGCCAAATTGACCTTCTAACTTACCCCATAATACGGTCTTACAAATATAAAAAAATTAACTATTCTGTTTCTATAATTGGATGCGACTAGTCAAGTTGCTAGAGCACCTCCAGTACGTAATTACCATAATTATATGAAATGACTTTATATATATATATATATTTAAATTTAATTCTTTGTGGTTATTTTGATAATAAGTATTTATTGAAAGAATGTTACTTAGGGATGTCGGAACAATGATTTATTGGATTTATGAGTATAACATAATTTTATCATCCCCAATAGAATGGCTTTAGTTGCGCTTATGAGCGGCATCTGTCAAAAAATGATTATATCAACATTTTTCATTATCAGTTTATACATAAATTTTCAGCTACCTTTAATGGTAGTATTATTCACATATTATTATTATAAATATTGAGAAATATTCTACCAAAATAGAAATACTCAGTTCTCTTTTAAATTGTACATATTTTTTAATTGATAAAATGTACAAAATTAAAAAAAATAAAAAACGCATGTAACATTGATTTAAAATTAATCATGCTAATGTACTTATAATGCTATCTTGCGTACAGATATTCTGTATACAGATGTTCTTCTTAAAAATATTTTAATCAAATAATAAAAGAACATAATAAATTTGAATCAATTTTAATACATTTAATCAGTGACACAACCATAAGATGGTTAGGTGGTTGTAACACCTCCCCCCTATCAAACAATTAGGGATATTTGAATTTTTTAATCGTTATAATTTTTTTTTTATTTTATTTATTTAAAATAGAAAGTTAGTAAACCTCCCAAAATTAACTTCTAGTTGTGCCATTGTATATAATTTTGTGTTGCAAATATGTGAACATTTTAGGTAACTTATTGTAAATAAGTTTATTTGTTTAGTTCTGTACCTTTGGAACATACGGGAAAAAGTGATGCTTGCAAATTTCTGACCTGTGTCGCAACGTCAACGTCCGTTCCTTCCTCTGCCATATTCCGAACTCCAAGAATTCTTTTACAAACAAATATAAAACGTTACTACGGGTAACACCGGTAATCGATATGCAAGTTAATTTTTGTGGTTAGTTTTCAGTAGTTAGTGTCTATGAGTGCTAAAAGTAACAAAGGTATTTGGTGTATGTCGAATAAATACATCATACGGCTTATCATTGCAGATTGTCAGCTGATGACGTGTTATTATTGAAGAATTGACGTATTGACCGAACTATATTAGGGGGTTAATATCTCCTAAGACGAAAATTATTTCTACGTTTCTGTGTACAAAATTTAAAAATGCATATAATTTACAGCCCACCATAATAATATCGTGGAAAATTATTTCAAATCAAAATTATGACAAACTAACGTGACGTTAAATGAATATAATTAAGAATACGTTAATTGTTATTAACCGCAAACTCTTAAAGGACAGTAAAAAAAAAAACACCTTCACAGTGGGGTGGAGTCGTAGTATAAATGATATCTGACAGTGATTAAAATCACTATCATAAAAAACGTTTCGATGCAAATCTGTAGATGGTGTTTAACTTTAATAAATTGGTGGATTATTCCAAAAGCTATATGATCTGCTAGTTCCTTATTAATATCCTGATTAAGATAAAGTATGTCGAATGAAAAAGGATTATTAAAAAATATTATTTCTCATAAAAAAATTGTGTTGATCCATACAGGGTGATCCATTTAACATTGACCAGC